AAATGCTGCAATATACCATACATTTAGCGGCGTTTTTATCAAAAACGCCGCGAAATCTCAAGACATATTCTGCAGCGTTTGTAGGAAAACGCCGGTAAAAATAAACATCTACTGCGGCGTTTAAACGCCGCTAAAAATCAACGACTATTGCGGCGTTTGTCTGCCAAATACCGTTAAATATTAACACCTATTGCGGCGTTTTAATTCTAAACGCCGCTAAATATTAATACCTTTTGCGGCACTTGTTGAACAATCGCCGCTATATGTTGTAACCTATTGCGGCGTTTTTTGTTGAAAAACGCCGCAAACTTTAGCGGCGCTATTTTTAGCGGCGCTTTTAGCGGCGTTTGTTTTTACGCCGTAGGTGTTTTTAGCGGCGCTTAAAAACGCTGCTATAAGTAAAAAAAATCGCCGCAATAAGTCACTTTTGCTGTAGTGTTACACTTTTTCTTAGCTTTATATTAGACTGCCTTTCGTTAGACATCCTGAAGTTCTTTTAATATATATATATATGCTTAATATAGAAATAAGTGCCCAAATTATACATTTTCTCATTTAGGTGTTTAAACTATTTTTTAATCGATCCAAGTGTTTAACATTTTTAACGTTACACTTTTAGGTATTTGAACCGTTGTCATTGTTAAATTATGTCGTTAAATGAAATGTGTTGTCTTTATAAAATTTTAAAAATTTATATTCTTTAAAAAAATTAAATTATCTGAGCGTAACATTTCTCACTTGTCGATGAAATTTAACGTTCGTTATGAGTGAGTCACCTAAAAATATACCGTTAGAAACATTAAACACCTAGATTGAACGAAAACTATTTAAGCACCTAAATAAGAAAAATAATAAAATTTGAACACTTATTTTTTGTATTACTATATATATATATATATATATTCATTTTCAATTCATCTAGTTCAAGGTTGATAAAAGACAAAATAAATTAATATAATTGGATAAAAATAAGGAAGTGAATAGGAGAGTAAATGAATCAAATTTAAATCAACAAAATTCTATTCGTGTTCGTTTATCTATGTTTAAAGATGTACATGTTCAATTTGCAATCGTATTCATTTATTTAGTTTTTATGAGTATGTTTTTTAGGTTGGTTTAATATTATGCAATCAACACTCTCTTGATACTCTTCTACTTGCGAACCAAAAAATAATAATAAAATTACACCACGAGTCCTTAAGTTTTTTTTAGGTTTCATAGCTTGAATTTCAAAATTTATCTTTTATTCAATTGAATCTCTATATCATAAACAAACTTATAAATAAATCGACAAACAAACTTATAAATAACTCGAAAAACTATAAAACTATCTTATAATCGAGCTTACTCGTAAATATAAAAAAATCAAATATATATTTTTTTCGTTTTCGTTTGTTTATTAAACGAACATAAGAATTTGGTTAATATTAGTTTATTTAATTTAATAAAAGAAAATAAAAAAAACGATTCACAAATAAAATAATTTGCGGAACGCTATGTTGACACCTAAAAGTACATAGAAGTTAACAAGTTAAAGCATACCCAGACAATGCGTGCAATTAAGCATGGTGTTTAGGGTGAGTGACTTTCAAAGAGTGTTGTAAGATTGACTCTCTGTCCCCTTTCTCTTCAGCTTCCCAAACGCATGCTTTATCTACTCACTTTTAGAAACAATCCCCATTCTCTGTCCCCTCACTTTTATTCAAATCCCCATAACCAATCATTCTTCGCCGTACCAGCAATTTTAAAAATATTAAAGTAACATTTTTAAATTAATTATTTGAAATAATGATAATAATTTTTATTGAAAATACCTTAAAATATTATTATTGAAATAACACTCATTTAGCAAAAAATTAATGATTTTTTAATTAAAAAAGTTAGTTCAATTAACCGTTGAAGAATTTTTTTTTATTAATTCGATTTTAAAGATTTTAATTGAATTGACTACTGAACCGATCATTTGAATGTTCTTATTAAAGTGAACAATGTTCTTTTATTTACTGAAATCGTTTAATAGATTTGAAAAAACAAAGATTTTAACCTTGGTGATTGCAAATTATAATGATTTATGCTTCTTGTGCATGTTTTTGACTTGCCTAGTTTACTATGCTCAGAGTTTTGACCTAACTCCTCGTAGAACTAATCTTGGGATGATATTTCATCTTTCATTTTTGTAAAACCAAAATCAGAAACTCATTTTCTTTTTCTAATTAAGCAAAATATTTTCTTGTGGATGTCTATATATTTGTGGATGCCTAAATAATAGTCTTTGGAAAGCCACCAAAGAATTGTATTTAGATGTATTTATTTATAATCATATAAATATAATATTATTCATTGAATTTACATTAGAATACTAGTCATATTTATTAACTTTGTGCATTAGATATATTAAATTTCAATCATATGAATTTCTTTTATCATAAAATTAAATATTTATATGCTATAATATATATTTTTATTAATCTGGAGCAAGTAAAAGACAATATCTATTGAAAGATAACTAATTCCAACCATTTGACATTGAACACTCACACCTCTGACATCTATAGTGCTCAAATCCGAATCCTCAAAGAATAACAATAATTCCTTTATCAAAGAGACCATTTGGTTCGTACTACTATAGCCTATTTAAAGGTTAATTCCGCTCTTATTTACGAAGGTCAGTGACTGATAAAAAATTCTGATGAGTATTTATAAAAAAATTGATAATTTTTTAATTTTATTTTTAATAATATAATAAAACCCGTTAACAAAGAAAGTCGAATCCGGTAAGAAAGAGATGATAAGTGTCTTGTAACGTTTGCAAAAGCTTAGAAAGTTTAACAAAAACAAGTGCCTTGGGACTCAAACACACCACCAAAATGCTGTTTCCACTGAACTTTGTAGCACTATTCCATAAAAGATAGACCCACGAATATCAATATTTGTCCATACCCACATAAAATTAATTAGGTTCAACAACGAATTTAATAAAATTAAAAAATTAATTCAAATCATATATAATTTAATTTATGGTTCGGTTCAGCATAGATATATAATTTCATAATTCAATGATTTTTTATAAAATTAATTCAAGGCAATGTTCACTTATTAGGGAGTCAATAGTGCATCTCCCATAATTATGTTCAGGGGGTGACTACTGGTGATTCCTGAATTAATTCAACATCATTTTTAAAATTGCATCATAATTTCTCGATTCCCGAGGCAATGTTCGTTTATGGGGTTAATAATTGGTTTTCCGCATTCATGCCAGGGGTGAATATTATTGGTATTAATAAACGAATATCTTCTTTCAACTTTGCATCCATAGTGATTTCTAAATTAAATAAAGTCTCGAACTCAAAATTTTCAAATTCTTAAATATAGGGTAATCGACTAGGTACTAATTTCTGGGCGATGTGGGGTGATAACTTTTCCCCACACGTAATCGACTCTCGAACATATTTTTTGTTTTTCACGGACCCCAAACTTGATATTTTGATAAAAAATGTATTATTAAATTATCTAATTTTTATGGTGTTCCAATCGCACCATTAAAATGATTGGTGGTGACTCCCAACATTTTATAAAATCATTTCATAAACCTCATCGTTACAACTAGTCGACCTTTCCTCTTAAGGCCGGTTGCGACAACATGCTTCCAATATGAAATTCCCTCCTTAAAGACCTCAGGAGGCGGCTTGACAAACGAACACCCTTCTTGAGAATGGAGAGGACGGGACTCCAAACTCTGCTCCTGTCCACTATCAAACAACTTACGCCAATTAAACGAAGCCGATGAAACCATGAAAACTCAGCTATCAACAAGCAAAAAGAGAACACGGCAACGAAAATCTCAAGCTACATTACTCCCGCTAACATTCTCTGAAACCCTCGCCATCCTTCTAAGAAAAAAAGGAAGGAACAATACTTTGCAAGCAGTTTGGCCGGAGAAATTCGTCGGAAAATCCTTACATGTTTACACTTAAAGTTTGACTTTTTTTATTAATTTTGAATTTGAAAAATGATAAATTTAAATATTTTAAAGTTAAATTGATTAAATTAACATTTTTTTTAATTTTTATATCATTTAATTTAATTTTAAAAAATCGCATAATACAATCTTTTAATAAAAAAGACCGAACCTCATAAAACATACTTCTATATTTCACTAAATTCATTCATGATTGGGTGGAAACAGAACTCTTTGTTATTATAGAAGACCTCATAAGTTTTATTCCTCATACTTGCATAGCACATTTTAATTAGGAAATAGAATTTGAATTTAAATGAGATAACGTCAATTAAAATACAAAAATTATCTTATTCAAATTTAAAAAAAAAAAGGAATCTATTAGGTCTATCAAACCGGAAAAGTAATTTATAATTTCAACACATGTACTCTAAACCAAAATATCACAAACAAATTAAATAAATAAATAAAATAAAGTTGTTAATAGATAACTTTATTTTCTTAAAAAAGAACCCAACATTTACCTCATTAAAATATTGGATAAACTACATGTTTGGTACTCAACTATTACTTTTATTTCATTTGTTCACTCAACTATTTTTTTTCAAAATCATACCTAATGTTTTGGTTTCATTTTGATCATTCATTGTTAAAAAATTAATAAAATTGCTGATGTGATATATTTTTATTTTTCAATAATGACATTACATTATCTTATGGTGATACGTAAGTATCACCGTTAATTTTTTAAACGATGAGTAACCAAAATGAAACCAAAACTAAATGTTAAGTGTGATTTAGAAAAAAAATAGTTGAATGACCAAAAACAAAACAAAACAAAAGTTATAGTTGGATATAAATGTATAGTTTACCCATTAAAATATTAAGCCAATAAACAAATAAAAAGCAGCAAAACCCTGTTGAGTTCTATAAAAGGAAAATTCCTCGCATGCTCTCCCATTTCCTTTATTTTTCCCATCACCGTCACTTCCACAGAACCTATCTTCTTCTTCTTAACAATCAGGCTTCAACTGGTTTTCTTCTTCTTCTTCTTCTAAATCTGGGGCTTGTTTCTTGATCTGGGTAATTCAGTTCAACTTATAGCTTGCCAAAGATGATCAGTTCAACAGATTTCTACCATGTGATGACGGCCATGGTGCCGCTTTACGTGGCCATGATTTTAGCTTACGGTTCAGTGAAATGGTGGAAGATTTTCTCTCCCGGTCAGTGTTCTGGAATCAATCGCTTCGTTGCTCTCTTTGCTGTCCCTCTCCTTTCCTTTCACTTCATCGCCTCCAACGACCCTTATGCCATGAACTTTCGTTTCATAGCTGCTGATACCCTACAAAAGGTCATAGTCCTTGTGATTGTTGCGGTTTGGTGCAATTTGAGCAAAAGGGGTTCCTTGGAATGGAGCATCACCCTCTTTTCACTCTCTACGCTTCCAAACACTTTGGTTATGGGCATCCCTTTGCTTCAAGGGATGTATGGGGAGTTTTCCGGAAGCTTGATGGTGCAAATCGTTGTTCTTCAGTGCATTATTTGGTACACTTTGATGCTTTTCATGTTTGAATATAGAGGTGCCAGAATGCTGATATCGGAGCAATTCCCTGACACCGCCGGCACGATTGTTTCGATCCATGTCGAGTCGGATGTCATGTCGCTTGACGGTCGACAGCCATTGGAAACCGAGGCTGAGATCAAAGAAGATGGTAAGCTCCATGTTACTGTCAGGAAATCTAATGCTTCGAGATCAGATATTTTCTCGAGAAAATCCCATGGCTTCTCTTCGACAACTCCACGACCTTCGAATCTAACCAATGCCGAGATCTACTCTTTGCAATCATCGAGGAACGCGACTCCCAGAGGCTCTAGCTTTAATCACACTGATTTCTACTCCATGATGGCCGGTGGACGCAACTCGAATTTCGGTGCTTCGGATGTTTATGGTATGTCTGCCTCTCGGGGACCTACTCCGAGACCATCTAATTATGATCAAGCGCATTATCACGCAGCAGGCGGTGCCGGTGCTGCCCATTATCCGGCTCCTAATCATGTGTCTAAAACAAAGAAGCATAATGATCAAGCTCACCATAAGGGTGAAGATGGTGCTAGGGACCTTCATATGTTTGTTTGGAGTTCAAGTGCTTCTCCTGTATCCGATGTCTTCGGCGGCGGCGGCCATGAATATGGAGCAACGGACCAGAAAGAGGTTAGAGCGGCTCTCTCCCCCGGAAAAGGTAGCTTTATAGTACAATTTTGTTTGTTTCATGTATAGACAGAAAACGACTTTGAAAATTTTAATTTCTGGTATAATTTAATAAGTTTTGATTCTTAAAATTTTATAAATTCTTTCTAAAATTTGGAAGAGTACACGGAAAGAGAAGATTTGGGATTTGGAAAAGGAGGACCGGAACGAGGGGATCATCCGACGGGCAATGGGAAGCCGAAAACCATGCCGCCAACAAGTGTCATCACAAGGCTGATACTGATCATGGTTTGGAGAAAACTTATACGAAACCCCAACACTTATTCAAGCTTAATAGGACTGATTTGGTCCCTAATCTCATTCAGGTAACAAATACTAATCCAAAATTCAGCACGGTGTTCATCTTTCTTATAGCTCATTTCTTGGATTATTTTCAGGTGGAATGTACAAATGCCTGCAATAATAGCCAAGTCCATCGCCATTCTGTCAGATGCAGGGCTTGGCATGGCCATGTTTAGCCTTGGTCAGTGAATTTCTTTACTTTTTTTGTTTTCGTACAAACGATACAATGGCTTTATGTCATTATTTATTGTTGTTATAAAGCCAGCAAACCTGCGTTAGCAAAGTGACCTGAACAGTATATAGGTATGATGATGATAATAAGTTGGGGATGGTGGGAATGATGATGAAAGATCTCTTAAATGATGAAACATCTATATTCGTTTAATATTCGAGGATGGCATGATGTGGTGACAGGACTGTTCATGGCATTGCAACCCAGGATCATAGCATGTGGGAATTCGGTTGCAGCTTTTGCTATGGGTGTTAGATTCCTTATAGGTCCAGCTGTGATGGCTGCAGCTTCCGTTATTGTTGGCCTGCGTGGCGTTCTCTTACACGTTGCCATTGTACAGGTCACTTTGCCTTTTGCCCTTTCTCTTTTACTTTCCTTCTTGTTTGGGATGAAATTTAAATATTGAGAACGATGGTTATAATTTAGGGATAAAATTAAAATATCTAAAGTTTTAATCTGGAACGAGATTTATAATTTGAGGAGAAATTGAAATATTTAAAAGTTTAGAGATTGATGTAGAATGAGGATCATTGTTTGATGTAATTAACTCTTTATTTATTTATTTATTTTTATTTTGGTCTGCATGTATTTGGGTTTCCAATAGGCAGCTCTCCCACAAGGAATTGTCCCCTTTGTCTTTGCCAAGGAATACAACGTACACCCTGATATTCTCAGCACAGCGTAAGTCCTTTTTACAATATTATTTTGAAACCATATTAATTTTGATTATTCTCTTATATATATATATATATATATATATATATATATATTTCTTTTGGTTTGAATGGCAGGGTTATTTTTGGGATGCTAATAGCGTTGCCCATAACGCTTGTGTACTACGTATTGTTGGGATTATGAAGTAGCCGGCACTGGCCTATATGTCAACGTTTTAATTATTTAATCCCTTTGGGGTTGGGTCCCTGCCAACAAAATCAAACCCCTTTTGTTAAACAAATCCAGGATCCACCCTCAATCTTCCTTGTCAATTATTGTTTTTGTTTTCCTAGTAAATCTTATTTTGTAGTCAGATTATGAAGAAAAAGAAACGCTTTTCGATTTTGTTATGATTTCGGGTTATCATTTCTATTCCAAGAATTCATACGCTCTCATAACTTTAAATTCATTAATTCACTTTAGTGGTAATAGGAAATATTATATCCTTTGGAGAAATCGAGTTTAAACATCTATATTTGTAAGGTGTACGTGCGTTGTCAATAAAAATTTTGAATAAATATTATCGTATAATCCATTTCATACTATTATAAAAAATATAATAAGTATGATAAGTTTTTCTACTTCCACTAAAACACACATCAAAAAGAAGGAATTGGATAAAGCCATAAATTAAGGGGCTTCCCCTTCACTCAAGTAACAAAAGTTATACCAATGATGGTCAACAAAATGCTAAATTAAGGAGAGGAAGCCTTTTAGGGAAATACTCAAAACCATAGGCACAAACATTTTTCAATACCGTCCCATTGCTGCACCTAACATACGTAGCAGCAAGTTCGCCGAGTATCTTCAATTCTCGGCACCACCATCGTCGTCTTCATACCCGTCATCTTCATCGGCCGAGGCATCTTGATACTGCTGATACTCTGCAACAAGGTCATTCATGTTACTTTCAGCTTCAGTGAACTCCATTTCATCCATTCCTTCCCCGGTATACCAATGCAAGAAGGCTTTCCTCCTAAACATGGCCGTGAACTGCTCACTAACTCTCCTGAACATCTCCTGTATCGAAGTTGAATTCCCGATGAAAGTCGAAGCCATCGAAAGCCCTTCGGGAGGGACGTCACATACACTTGATTTCACATTGTTCGGGATCCACTCGACAAAGTAGGAAGAGTTCTTGTTTTGCACATTCAGGATTTGTTCATCGACTTCCTTTGTGCTCATTTTGCCTCTATACAAGGCCGACGCGGTGAGGTAACGACCGTGACGTGGATCGGCTGCACACATCATGTTCTTGGAATCCCACATTTGTTGTGTCAGCTCGGGGACGGTGAGTGCTCTGTATTGCTGCAATCCTCTCGATGTTAATGGAGCGAATCCGACCATGAAAAAGTGAAGCCGCGGGAACGGGATCAAGTTCACAGCTAGTTTTCTGAGGTCTGAGTTAAGCTGACCCGGGAATCGCAAGCAGCAGGTGACACCACTCATTGTTGCAGATATCAAGTGGTTCAAGTCTCCAACTGAAGCAAGATGAAACGAAATTAAACGTTTTCAGCATAAGTAAAACATTAAAAAGAACTGTGTTAGTTCAATTACATACAGCTAGGGGTAGTGAGCTTTAGTGTTCTAAGGCAGATATCATAGAGTGCTTCATTGTCGAGAACCATGCACTCATCAGCATTTTCCACCAGCTGGTGGACTGAAAGAGTAGCATTGTAAGGTTCCACCACGGTGTCGGACACCTTCGGAGATGGAAAAACCGAGAATGTAAGCATCATACGATCCGGGTATTCTTCTCGAATCTTCGAAATAAGCAGAGTCCCCATTCCCGACCCTGTTCCTCCTCCAAGTGAATGACACACTTGAAACCCTGCAAAACCCGATAAAAGTTGCTAAATGAGCATATAAAAAAAGCATAACAGTAGGATGACATTGGAGAGGCTAATAAAAACACCTTGTAGGCAGTCACAATTCTCAGCTTCCTTCCTAACAACATCAAGAACCGAATCGATAAGCTCGGCTCCCTCGGTGTAATGACCTTTAGCCCAATTGTTTCCGGCCCCTGACTGGCCGAAAACAAAGTTATCAGGCCTGAAAATCTGCCCATATGGGCCAGTCCGGAGGCTATCCATCGTCCCGGGTTCAAGGTCCATGAGAACAGCCCGCGGCACGTACCGACCACCACTCGCCTCGTTGTAGTACACATTAATCCTTTCGAGTTGCAACTCCGAAGTTCCGACATACTTGCCGATGGGATCGATCCCATGTTCACCGCAAACGACTTCCCAAAACTTGGATCCGATTTGGTTCCCGCATTGCCCTCCTTGAATGTGAAGTATTTCACGCATGTTGTGGCTTAGGTTACCAAAAAAGAACACTCCCTTCAAAGACTTGTTAAAGTGAAGAGATTGTGGTAGCTATTTATACAAAAGGCATTTCATATTTGAGTTATGAATGAAGGGCTAAGATTAGGTTTGGGAAGTGTGATCGGACGGCTGAGGGGTGTCCGACCAGCGAGAGTGAAAAATGTATGTCTAGTAGTGAGATGGGTTATAGTGAAAAGATGCCATTTGGAGTAGGCTTAAGCCGGCTATCAAAGAGCAAGGAGTGTTTCCATATTTTTAATGGTAATAGATAATTAGTGGTAATAATTAAGCATTTGTCGTAGGTAATGACATTAGGGTTGGGCATGGGACCCGAATCCGATGGGTTCCGACCCGATCGGGTCGGGTTTTTTTTAATTCGGGTTCGGGTCGGGTCGAATCGGTTTTTAAATGTGATGTTCGGGTTGGGTCGGGTTTGGATTTAGGGTTAAAAATATTCGACCCAACCCAACCCCAAAAAATATAATTTTATCTTATATATTTAAGAATAATTACTATAATACCCCTCTATATATTATTTTTTTTCCAATTAAGTCATTGTTTTTATCGAATAAAAATAATATTTTTTTATTATTTCGAGTCGGGTTCGGATTTTATCTCAAAAAGTCGGGTCAGTGAAGGGTATATTTTTCTGGTCGGGTCGGGTTAGCCGAAACCCGACCCATGCCCATCCCTAAATGACATTGACGCCCCAAGCTCAAAGTTAATGCATCTTAATTTTTCTTCTTTGGGTGTGACTAAAGACGCAAAATCTAAAGATAATAGGGATGCAAAGGTGATATAGGTTGAGTTTTGGTTCACCTAAATTTAACTCTAGAATTATACTCTTTCATCCGTCCGATCTTATAATTTAACTATAAAAATTAGTGGGTGACTTGTGAACGAGAAAAGGCAATAAAACCACATAAAACCAAAATTGTTTTAAGAGAATATGAATACAACAAAGTTAATGGCAAATCCCCGACGTGCAGATAAAAAAAAGGAAATAAAAGTTATCTGTGTTTGCTGATAAAAATGGATGGATATATTTGATGACGTCAGACCTTTTCTTTAAATGAAATGAGATAAATCGTGAGTTATTCGAAATTGATTAATCGAAGTTCGGTTAATTCTCGGATAGAATGAACTCGATTCAAGTTCGAACGATTAACGAGCCGAAACGAGTTACTTGATATTCAACCTAATTAATTAACATATTAAATTTTTATATTGACGGAATGGAACATTGACAACAAAGACATAACATACGGATTATAAGAACAAACTCAAAAGTTGTCAAGACACACCTAATCAAATGCAGATGCAAAGAGGTCGAGGATAGTATATGACCTTGGCTGACCAAGCCATTATAAAATTTGAGCGGACCTTCAGTGCATGGACCACCCAACCAAAGCAATAATCCGAGCACCAGTACCAGACAAGCCAAGCTCCAAGCAATCCACATATAAAGAATTATTATTTATTCACAGTCTAAAAAATCCTTACAACGTCAGGATAGTCGAGAACAGATTAACTCTTGCCATGGGTAAAGAAACTGCTAGGAAAGCTAAAATTATTCCTCTTGTCCGCAACTATTCATTTAGAACATTGGGATAGAATTCAATGGAAAGTATTCTTCATTGCCCTTCGAAGCAAAAAAAGCAATCCTGCAAGGCTGATTCCGAATCCAAGAACTATTCCTACCAGCGTTAAACCTTACGCTACTCGCTTCAATAGAAAATACGGATATGTTCTAGCCACCCGATGAGGGCGGCCGCTGAAGTAATGAAATCGTTGATAATCCATATAAATTCCGTTCCAAAATCATGTTGCTCCAAAGCAGAATCTATAATTTGTTCGGATTCCAACAGTCCTTTAACCATACCGCTTTGAGTTTATATATTGCTGGAAATGATGTTTAGAACAGTTAATATTATCCGGTTACACTCTAGAAACAAATTAGAATAATTCTAGGTTAATATTTGACGAGCCTAACACACCCATTATAAAGGATTTAAGATCTATCACTAATACTATATCAACTCTAGAACATTGGTTAGATTTTTATTTTATAAATTCTTGTTGTATAATAATATATAAGCGGTAGTGCCGATAATATATCATTTAGGCGATAGAATCGATTATATATCATTTTAGTGGTAGAACCAACCATATATCATTTATGTGGTAGAACCAACCATATATTAAAGCTAACATAAGTGCACTAAGAATTTAAAACAAACTAATGCTTAATTGTGAAATTTATTATTATAAGAGAAGAGAATAATTTTATTAATATCCATGAATTAATCTAGATATTTTCAAAATATACAACTTAAAAAATAATTAGAGATTTATCTAGAAACTACATTGATTTTTTACATTATTTAAATTAATTAAAAAACAAAAGAAAAACTACCTTTAGATTTATTTTATTTCTCTCAAACAACTTATAAGACATTTACTACAAATTCTTTTATTTCTTTTACAAGTAAATTGAAAAGATAATAATTGATGATAAGAAAATTAAAATTAAACACTTTATATATGAATGGAAAGAATAAAAAACATGTCATGATTAATATTTTTGATTTTATTCTATAAAGAAAGTAGAATATTTAGAATTTAATAAAATAAAAGGAAGAAAAATCTAATTCCACAAAAATCAAAGACTATTTTATTGTCATTAGTGACGTTCTTAATTTTTAAAAGCACTCAATTATAAAAAAAAAATTAAGTGATAAAATAAAAAATAAAAAAAATAAAAATTAATCTCAACGATTTGATTAGTGTCATCAATATCTTAACAAAAATGATGCAAAATGAGGACTTTACAGGAAGGACTTATCAAACACCATCAGATAATAGTCAATCAACTCTTCATAAAGACGAGACAAAGACGTTCCTTTGATTAATGCTAGTTGTTTGATTTGTGTTTTT